GGGAATGATGTTTTATATATAGTGATAATAACAAAACAACTACATTATGTGTATTAACTTATCTATAAATGTTAAGGTTAAAAGTTTTATACTTTATTAGAAGTCATATAGGAGTAATGTAGTATGAAAAAATTGAAAATTATAATTTCTCCTAAAATAAAGCATAAAGTGACTGGCCCTTTTAGACATAACTTAATTAATTAATAAACAATAATTTACACTAATAAAGTATTCATAAACATCTTAAAAAAGTTACGGACAAAATGACGTCGAAAATATACAGATTTTTATGGAATGACCCATACAGCGCTTGCTTAGACTACTTCTGCCGAGGTCTGCAGTGCCCTGCCAAGATATCAGGGGCACTCAGGGAAGATATCATCAGCCTGATTAAGTTCTGGCAGCTGATGCACTCGGATAAGAAGTATTTGAAGAGCAGCGATATTGGCGGTGAGTTGTAGATAGTGTATACAGTATACAGCGCTTGCTTAGACACTTCTGCCGAGGTCTGCAGTGCCCTGCCAAGATATCAGGAGCCTTGAGAGAGGACATCATCAGCTTAATCAAGTTCTGGCAGCTGATGCACTCGGATAAGAAGTATTTGAAGAGCAGCGATATTGGCGGTGAGTTGTAGATAGTGTATACAGTATACAGCGCTTGCTTAGACTACTTCTGCCGAGGTCTGCAGTGCCTTGCCAAGATATCAGGGGCACTCAGGGAAGATATCATCAGCTTGATCAAGTTCTGGCAGTTGATGCACTTGGATAAGAAGTATCTGAAGAGTAGCAATATTGGCGGTAAGTTCAAATAATTTAAGCAGTACACAGCGTAATAGTATGCTTACGCCCGTATCACAAATATTTCTATGAGGCCTCATAGTGCGCGTGGACGCACAGGGTGACACACGAATCAATCACAGAGCTCTATTCAACGCTGTGTGTTCGATTTGCTGCTTCACTTAAGCAAGCATTGTTTGTGAATACGGGCCTTAGAATACTTCTGACGCGGTCTGCAGTGCCATGTTAAGATATCAGGAACCTTGACAGGGGAAGTCATCAGCCTCATCAAGTTCTGGGAGCTGATGCACTCGGACAAAAAGTATTTGAAGAACAACGATATTGGTGGTGAGTAACAGCAGAAGGGACCATTCCCACCTCTCATACCCACCGCTGCAACTCCTGTGTAGCCAGGATCTACAGCTTGACCGCCAATAAATACCCAAACAGTGAAGGTCAACATGTAGAGGTTTAGTCTTTACTTATTTATTTATTTATTTATTTATTTATTACGGTATACCAACAAGAACAACATTACATACAAAGTAATTACATGAAAATCTTACATATAGAAGTTTAGTGTGTATGCATGCCAATAACAGTAACAATTTACCAACTGAATGTAGTATATTCGATATGAGTAGCAGCCTCTATTATTTTTTTCCGCCGGGAAGTGCTTTGTGCAAATCCACTGCTCTATAGGGACCGCTAGTAAGTTATGTGAGACTATACTCTCGCCAGAAGGGCAGAGCCTACTCACTTATAATCAAAGCGAGAGTGAATATTAGGCACTTATAGGGAAGATATGTACCATCCTAGACTGCATCTCACTTAACATCAGGATCAGCTGCCTTGTGCTGCATAAAAAAACTCTCCTGTATCCTCCGGGGTCAATGAAACGGACGGAGCTGCGAGTTTTGTCCTAAAATTTGACATTCGTCCGCGGCTCCGTCTCAGACAAAATTCGTAGCTTCGGTAGAGCTTGGTTAAAATAATATGTTATTTTCAGGTGAATTCGAATTGATGGGACCAAGCAGTCAGCAAAGCATTTACACGTCAAATTCCCCAACTGACAACCGGTCGTCTGTGAATAGCAGTGACATTGGTAGCAGGCAGAATACAGGATGGATAAATACGGTAAATACTTCCAAAGTTCATTATAAATATCATCCCGAGTTCGTCTTAGGGTGGATATGTATGTCTCTTTTGAATAAAAGAGATTCAAACAGGAACAGCTTTTGACAGGGCTAGCCTATTAAAATGTTGAAGTCAGCTTCTATTGCCCATGCATTCAGTCTGACATACACTTTGACGAATGTCTGTAACTGTGATGAATAAATTACTGTGTGTATCTTTAACAACCAGACCCAAAAAAGGGGGATGAAATGATGAACAAAACTTTGATTGAACAAAATAAATATTCCAAAAATGAGCAAAAAAAGCCACTACCTCCGGGCATTTTGTTCTAAATAACAATTAAAATGTGTAAAGTAGCTTTTCATAATAATATTTTTTTTAGTTGATAATTTGCTGTTGTATTTTTATCCGGTGTCGACATAGTGCCGTTGATACGAAATAAGATGACACAATTTTCTCTTCATATCGTCTCTTACCATCAATTTAGCAATATACTTTCACACTTATGAACCACACTTGACCGTTCCATAGGTTCCCATGTCCACCACGACGCTAAGCAGTGGCGCTGGCAGCATAGCGGGCAAGCGTTCCAACCGCAGCGTGAAACCGCCCGCTAAGTCGCAGGACACATTCGTCAAAGACTACGTTCGGAAGAGGAATCTTATACTGGAGCTTATGGTAATAAAGACGCTGTTTAATTAATCGAGAAGAATTGTATAAGATATAAATGAAATGGAATAAAATATAGGTGTTTTCGAAACCTTCTAGAGCTTGTTCTATCCTCACTTCGGGACAACGTGTGGACCAGTTGAATAGGAAAAAGTGCTGCAAAAAAATCTTCAGCCTTTGATACGTAATAAATGCGAATTACGCAAGTAAAGTTCGTAATATTATATGTCTGTAACTTTTTGTCCTTTTCTTAAATTATCGTCACACTTTATTACTGTATCAATGTTCATTGAAAATTTCACCTTACTTCTATTATAGGCTGTTGAAATCGAGTTCCTAGTAACATGGCACAACCCCCACGGTCGGCCAGAGCAAGCGGTGCCGGGTGAAGACAATATAGCGACGTGGCGCTCCAAGCCCAACACAGATCGCACTTGGAAGGACTACGCGAAACTGGCGTGGGATATCAGTCCCACGCTGGCCGTGTTTTTGCCTGAGAGGTTTGTGTAGTTTTTTTAATAAATAAGTTCCTGTCACTAGGAAATGACGATGATGATTATGAGGAGGACACAAATGATGGCACATCACAAATGAAGAGAACCGTAAACGAATTGAAGTCACGTCACATAGCCCGACGGATTAGCAAGCTGAAGAGCGGGGCACATAGTACGCAGAACTAACGGGCTTTTATACAACATTTTGGTACTGTAATAATAGGTTGATCCAGTGGCGTAGCAGGCTTTAGACTAGGCCCTGTATCAATATTTCTTGATAGCCCCATCTAAAAAAGGCCATTAGATCATGGGGACCCTTTTCATTAAATTAAAATCTGAAATGATACGGGGCGCCTGGATCCCTGGAGCCCCGTATTATTGAAACGGCTAATTTGGCGGTAGCTTCGCCCTTAGTAGATCCTGAGTTCAAAAACTATTTCGTATATTTCTAGACTGAAAGCCGAAAGCATCACAGCCGAGATCAGACGGAAGGTGCTAGCGCATCCCATAGCAGTGTGTCACGTGCCCCAAGCGCTGAAGTACCTGGTCACCACCGACACGCTGTTGGGAGACGCGCATGAGGTAAATGATGTAGATATTAATATAATCGGTGTATGTACTATCGGCAACAGTGTTAATGCCCATTGCCGGTCATGTCGTCTCGTTCTATCGCAAAGAATCACCATTTGATGAGAGTGAGAGAAAAAACGGAAATGGATAGTTAACACTGTGGCCGTGTGTACATAAAAATACTAACCGAGTTGAGAACCTTTTGTTGAAGTCGGTTAATAAAAAATTTGGCTCCACCTTAAGAATTCTCTTAAGGCTTGGTATTTCTGCTAAAGTAGGTATTTCGCGCTGTCAAAATCTGCGCGCGCAATACTTCGCCGAAGACAGCGCGCCAAAGAGCTCTCGCGGCTACACAGTATAGAAATACGCAGTTGGTTAGGTTAGGTTGACTTCCTTCCGTTCAAGCGTCACACTCACGGCACTTTTTAATACAAATCATATCCAAGTGATACAAATTAAAACAACTTTTAAAATTTTTGGGAATATATTTTAGAATCGAATAAATATAGAATATAACCGGGCACTTTTTAATACAAATCATATCCAAGTGATACAAATTAAAACAACTTTTAAAAATTTTGGGAATATATTTTAGAATCGAATAAATATAGAATATAACTGCCAAAGTAAACACGGTTCAAAGAGACGTGGCGTCACCCGACCTTCCGGAAGTTCCGCGCCAAGCCCTACGGCATGACACGGTGGGTGGAAAAATGATATTTATTGCGTTGAGATAAGGCTTAGATTCAAATGAAACTGCCACAAGTGTAAGGTCCAAATTCCAATGACATGTGACTGTTCACTTGACTCGCAGCTGGATCAAGCATTGCGGCACGATACGGTAACTTATTCCGCTGCAATAAGGTTCAAGTTGAAATGAAGCTGTTATAAGTGGCGCAGGCGGCGGTCATGACTCTGACTTCCTACCCTTCGTCTGCCGTGCTACTGTATATCCCGCAGCTGGTGCAAGCGCTACGGCATGACACGGTGGGTGGAAAAATGAGATTTATCACGCTTAGATAAGGCTTAGATTCAAATGAAACTGCTACATGTGTAAGGTTCGAATTCCAATGAGTATTTATGTGTTTATGCGTGACAACACTGCTGCAAGTACATCACTATGTGCAAGCGCTGCGGCATGACACGGTGGGTTCAGTAGTACTAAAAAATAACTTATTCCGCTGTGAATAAGTCGTAAATTCGAATGAAACAGCCCAATAGAAGCGCTGTCATACTTCAGCCGACAGTACCCGCCACACCCACTATCGGCGCAGGCGGCGGTCATGACTCTGACTTCCTACCTTTCTTCTGCCGTGCTACTGTATATCCCGCAGCTGGTGCAAGCGCTACGGCATGACACGGTGGGTGGAAAAATGGGATTTATCACGCTGAGATAAGGCTTAGATTCAAATGAAACAAGTTTCTTCTTCGTCTCTACACTCTTATCAGAATGGTCTTTATCAGAAGCTTCACAAGATCGTGGAGTGGACCTTTTTTATCCACCATGAGGAAGCTCTTGGCCTGCATCATCATCAAAATTTTAGTTTTGGAACGTTTCCCGCTAGGGGCGCTGCACAACCCGTCATACATTTAATGTCATTTTTTGACGCGCTCACTAGTGAGCGCGTTTGATGTAAACTCACTCTAGGCCCTAAGATGGTGGTAACTAGCCAGGTGAACTAGAATACCTATATCACGAATCAAACAGCAGAAATTTTGACTTGTTTTATTTTCAGATGGGTTATGTCGCGGAGCTGATCAAGTCTCTGGCGAAGAAGTCCCAAGTGGTGGCCCACCAGCTCATCTGGAACATGCACACCAACATGTACACTGACGAGGAGATGCATAATAAAGACAGTGAGTTTATTAGAGAGCTCTAGGGCTAAGTAATAATATGCTTCATGTAAAATCATATTTTACGGTTAAGGAGACCATATCGTCGTAAAACTATTATTTCTTGCTCCAATTCCTCATAATGCAACATATTAGTTTATCCTTTACATTATACAGTGAGATAAAGTGGCCACGGTGGCCAGTGGTATAACTGTGATGGAAATAATCGTTACACTTAAAAAAACACATTATTGATGATTTCCTGGTATTTTTTGCAGTCAGAAATGGTTTTGACTATCGCCCTTGGTCAAAACCACTTTTGACTGAACTTAGTCAAAAGTAGTTTTGATCGATTATTATGAGTTTTGACCGTAACATCTATAACATTTTCACAAATACAAATTCATATAGACCCAATCAATATACTGAACTGTCGCACCCGTGACATTGACAGCGGGCGCCACCGTCAATACCGGATCGCTGGTTCTGATTTTTGCCATGTTGGAAACTATAAAGTTTAACGATGGTGGCGCCCCTCTGTCAATGAGTTTGGTGGGACAGTTCAGTGTAGGTCATCTTTACCGTGTTATTTAACCCTTGAATTTCATCTCCAGCTGCGCTATTCGACGTGCTAGAAGCTCTCACAAAGAGCATAGTGGACACGCTATCAGGGCCAGCCAAGGCGTTCTATGAGCGAGAGTTCGATTTCTTCGGCCAGATCACCAACATTAGTGGCATCATCAGACCTTTCCCGAAGGGAGCTGAGAGGAAGAGGGCGTGCTTGGAAGCGTTGAAAAACATTAAGGTTTGTGATAAATGCATAAAATATTTAGTACTAGCTTTCCGCCCGCGGCTTCGCCCGCGTGGAATTTTGTCTGTCACAGAAAAACTTTATCGCGCGCGTCCCTGTTTCAAAAACCGGGATAAAAACTATCCTATGTTCTTTCCCGGGACTCAAACTATCTCTATGCCAAATTTCATCAAAATCGGTTGCGAGGTTTAAGCGGGAAAGCGTAACAGACAGACAGACAGACAGACAAAGTTACTTTCGCATTTATAATATTAGTTGGGATTGAATTCTGTGGTCTGAAATAGAATACATGTGGGAAAAAGGAGTATCGTTTAGTTTTTATTTTTAAATAACTTTATGGGGAGATGTCAGATTTGGTGGATGACGTTTGCTGTCTGAGAAAGATGTTAGATTAGAAAAAGACTGTTTTAATAAAATAAAGAACGAATAAAACCATTATTTTCAATAACAATCTCACAATCCCACATACATATTTGGAAAAGACAGTTTTTTGTTTCAAATATAAATATGGAACTGAGGTAAGCTTTGTAAAAAATTTATACTTGTAAACCTGCTTGCTGATAGTTTTATTTGTATACTTATCAGTACATTATACTCGAGTTTTTTGAAGAGGTATTAAAACTAAATTTGTCTATGGATTTGTAACAACTCAGAAATGCATAAGTTACGAAACTCATTAGACTAGGTTCGTGACTAATTTTAATGCCATTACAGTCATGTAAATTGTGTGTTTTATTCTAGGTTCAACCAGGCTGCTACTTACCCTCTAATCCGGACTCTATGGTATTGGACATAGACTACAAAAGCGGTATGAACTACGTCTATAATTTATTATTTGTCAATAATGTGGTATGAGAACTACCTCTTTTTAAGTTATTATTTCTTTTTGGTGAGCTGTATTTTCGTTTTATAGGTACTCCTATGCAAAGTGCTGCGAAAGCTCCATATCTGGCTAGATTCAGGGTGCGGAAGTATGGCATAGAAGAGATGGAATCTGTCGCCATGGCGATTGCTTCAGGGGAAGACCCACCAGTCGTAAGTATTGATAGTGATACTCCATTATTCCATTAATCTATTAATCCGGGCATTTTCAAGGCGAGAGTGAATAAGTACTTACAGGGCAGATATGATTATGTACCATCTTAGACTGCATCTCACTTAACACCAGGTGCAATTGCGGTCAAGTACCTGCCTTGTTACGCATAAAAAATCTATTAATGCTTTATTAATTCTAAGTAGATTTTTTAATAAAGAGGTTTACCTCTTTATTGATTGATTAATCGATTATTTTACTGGCAAATATGGTTACCAAAGTATTTAACAATACTTTAATGTTTTGGGTTGATTTTATACGTCAAATAAAGGTTATCAATAGTGTAAGTTTGACATACATACATGTTCGTTCATACTGCCAATTGGTCTGCCAAAAATATAGTTCGTTCGTTCGTTCGTTTCAGCCGAAAGACGTCCACTGCTGGACAAAGGCCTCCCCCAAGGATTTCCACAAATATAGTGTCTCTAACTAACTGCAAAAAGGGTTTTGAATAAGTAAATGTAATTTGATAACAGTATTTTCGTGCTACATTCAACAACACATCGTTTAGTAAAACCTATAGCATGTAGGTCTTAAAATCAAGCAATATGTCAATTCTAGGAGGAAGGCAAGGACCGATACACGTCCATAGTGTCGGAGGCGTGGCAAGCGGCCATCTTTAAAGTGGGCGATGACGTCAGGCAAGACATGTTGGCGCTGCAAGTGATATCGCTGTTCAAGAACATATTCCAACAAGTCGGGTTGGATCTGTACTTGTTCCCGTATAAAGTTGTGGCTACGGCACCAGGGGTGAGTGAAAGTAATATAAAACTCCGCTATAGAATGCGGCTATTTCGTTAACATTATAAATAAATGGTAAAAATTAAAAACCTATTAAAATATAGATTATATTGTCTTAGCAAATAAAGAAAATACTTATTCATTTACAATTTTTTTTGCTCTATGTCCATTTTTGAAAAATTGCCATTAGTTAGATAAATAAAAATCTTTAGATATACTACTCCATATACTCGTACTATGTTGATTTTGAATTTGAACCTAGTTATACGATACTATGTTTGTTATCTGCTAGATTATGGCAAATATCTACTTAATTTTAGAAGTTGGACCAAAAATATTTATTACTGCTAAAATTAAATGACCGTAGTATAAAATCTTTTTTTTTCCCAGTGCGGTGTGATAGAGTGCGTGCCGAACGCCAAATCCCGAGACCAGCTGGGAAGACAGACTGACATCGGCATGTATGAGTACTTCATCAAGAAGTATGGCGACGAGACTACTAGAGAATTCCAGGTGAGTACATCCAGGAATTAGAGCGGTTTCACACTAAGTTCGATACGAATTCATAAAAACATTGTCCGGAGTACTTGATGTCGTAGAACTATTTGTATGGTAGTTTACGCACTATATTTGATTCGGTCGGTTCGGTATCGTAATGCGAAACCACTGTTGCCCTGTATTAAAGTGATAATAAATTAAAATTCTCCTCGAATGCGAATTTCCATGATATGATGACCACCAAATATAGGGTTATTGTGGACTGTTATGGAGAACACAATCCCTAATACGAACATTTAGCTTAGTTGGAGCTAGAAATTACTAATACATACTCTTTAAAAATGCTATTTTCAGATTGTTTGAATTAAAAAAAGAGGACCTAAATTACTTAACTCGTTCACTATCCAAAAATATAGAAATAAAATAATGTTTATTATTACAGGTAAATATAATAATATCATGGAATACTTTTATATCCACAGGCTGCCAGGAGGTGTTTCGTGACATCCATGGCGGCGTACAGCGTGATCGGATTCCTGCTTCAGATCAAGGACCGGCATAACGGGAACATCATGCTGGACACAGATGGACATATCATTCATATAGGTACGGACGGGTTAATACTGTGGGATCTTTATCATTTTGTATCTTCTTTTCTTATTTACCGGAGGCAAAAAGGAGGATTTGTTTACACTTTTCACGCTTGCCACGGGTTGGAAAGGCTAAGTTCGTATTTTATTTGCTTTTTACGATATCCAAGGGAAAAAAGAGGGTAGGCCCAATTCTACTCAGTGTCATTTTGTGATTTCACCACAAAAATGTGTAGTCTGATTTTTTGTCAGCCGTAAAAAGTATGACGTACACATTAAACTCAAAGAACTCAAAAGTTTGAACTTATATTCTGACTGATGCAAGCTTTATTTATTAGGTATTAATATCAATTAAATAGATGATCTATTTATTGCATTAAGCTTTTGCCTGCGGCTTCGCCCGCGTGGAATTTGTCTGTCACATAAAACTATTGCGCGCGTCCCTGTTCCCTGTTAAAAAACCGGGATAAAACTTTCCTATGTCCTTTCCTGGGACTCAAACTATCTCTATGCCAAATTTTATCAAAATCGGTTCAGTGGTTTAGGCGTGAAAGAGAGACAGACAGACAGAGTTACTTTCGTATTTACAATATTAGTATAGATGTGCCTCCTACATTGCTCTACTGCCGCAGGATCTTGCACAGTTATCTTCTAAATATATAAAAGGAGAAACTGACTGACTGACTGACATATTAACGCACAGCCTAAACGGCTAAACGTAGGCACTTG